CGCACGCTGTACCCCGATACAACCACTGCAGCACCAACACGTTAAAAGCGGAAGCCTTTAGTTGCGCGTGTCTTTAATTCTCGGTCTCTAGGCGCTTTCAGTCAACTTTCACTAACCTCGTCAAGCTGGAGCCTCTTAGCTACTTCCTGTTTCCGGATAAGGGGTTACCAAAATAAGAGTACTGCGTGTAGCAGTATAATTAAACATTACAGGTTGTGAGTGACATTAGTTGTCATATTTATATATGTTTAGTAGCTTGTGGAATTGCTCTAAAATATTTGTTGATCTTATTTATTGGTATTTATTATTTTTGATATAAATGTATACTTTTTTTTAAATGATTGGTTTTTCAGTTGAATTATACTTAAAGTTCAGGGTATTCAACTGTTAAAAACATACTGTTCAAATTATTATTTAAAGTTCAATAAATGGATGTTTTCAAAGTCAATGAATAATCATATTTAATAATCGTGATATCAATATTGACCAGAAATAAATGTGATTATGATTTTTGCCATAATCGCACAGCCCTACCAGTGAGTGAGGATTCCTTGCAGAATTGTGATTATAATTGGAGAATAAAACATGATCTAACAAGAAACAGAAGCAACCAAATATTATAAAATGTTATTGTCCAATAGGGGAAATGTTGCTGTAAAAATGATGAGGAAAGGGATTCAGGCATTTCATCTGATGAAGATGAATGGGCTAAATGTGTGGCTGTTCTCTTGCTATGTTGAGGGATTTAATGATTTTTCATTGTTACTATTGGCCCTGGAGATGAGACTAGGCGTAATGGATTCTACGATGTGTTTGGGAAGTAGAAGGAGAGAGAGCACTCTAATTCATGCACATAGTAACAGAAAACGTAGAGACAAGATTTTGTAGTAGACGGTTACATTTGTCTGCAAAATGTGTAGAGATGGTGGGATTTTATTGGCTCTCCCTCCATGTATGAACAAATGGACCCAGAGAGCGATAATGATAGGGCAGAAAGATCTTGCTAGGAGATGTAAAGCACCTGGAACACCTGCTTTTAAGGATTGGGTTGCTAAAAAGCTGCTGCATATAGAAGAATGTCATATTGGATTCGTAATAGGGCAGGAAAAAATGGATGGAAATAACTGAATGACATGTACAGTGAGGTAGATTTGATATGTTTATGTTCCTAAATGTATTCATTACAATGTACTGAGGATCAATGTGTTCATTTTTTATTTTATGAATTATTTTGTATAAATATATTTCATATTTGCATCTTGGTGTAACACTAGGTGGGTTGAGAGCAATGGATAAGGATACAATACGCATTTCCGCCTTGATTGTTTTGCAAAAATGTTATGATAAAATGGAGGTATAAACCAAACAGTTGGTAAAAGAACCTAAGCTACAGATCATTTACCCATTTTTGTGTCGGTTTTTGGTAGCAAAATCAATTAAGTTATTCAATTTTGATCCTCATACATCTTAATAATTAAGTTTATTGTTTAACTTAATAAACATCTGCCACCTGTGCAGAGTTTAGTCAAATACATGTGATATTGGACTACCTATTAAATCACATACTGAAATGCATCTATTTTTTGTAAGGTCTGTGATGCATTCAATTGTTACATGTTTTAGAGATGTTTCACAGTTTGGCTAAAAGCATTTGAGCCTCAAACACCCTTTACATTAACTCCACTGTTTCTGTAGTTACTGCTCTCTGCCTCGATGCCTCTGTAATTGTCCGTTTTCTCTCTCTGTCTCAACATTGTCCCCCTCATTTTGCAATGTAATTGAAATTTTTAGCTGCACTTGGCTATTTAAAGAGAAACAAATGATCTCCTTAACTGTCATCCTGAAGGAGAAAGCAAGCAACCAAGTGTGGCTTTATCCATGAGCTACGTTGTCTCTCGAGTGTGAAATCTCTATTTCTGTTGAGCTGCCCGGAGGACAGCCGAGCTAAGCTTCGTTTAACGCCGCTCCGGAACTGGAGCATTAAATGCAATTTCCAGCAGGTTTGGCTGGGAAGAACACAGCAATACGTGTTTGAAGAGACGGTTAGTGAGGATGACGGAGGAATCAGGGGATTTTGTTTCCAAACAGTGAACGACAAAGCCTCATCGACGCATGTCCTCCATTCTGTGTCCAGCATACACTAGCCGTTTCCTCTCTCTGGGTCTCATCAGGTTAAGTGGGCTCCGTGCACAGTACACACAAGCCCAGTAATGGCTAACCATTTGGATGTTATCCCAAAGCAGGCAGCAGGGTTGATGTGATTGCAGTTCAGTCTGAGGGAGCCTCTGTGCTCCCTTGGAGATAGTCTTCTGTCTCTCACCCTGGAAACTGCTGGGTCACTTCAAGTAGCTGACGCCCCCACAGACAACCCTCTGTTGCACTGGGTTGCCTTGTAGCACATGCACATGATCATGAAGTTTGTATTGCGTTTGGTTGCCTGAGGTTTTAGCCAAACATTGATGTCAGCTGGATCATTATATGAAAGGCGGGCTATTCTCATTTCAGTACAGGCTGCTGTCCAAAGCACTTCCATTTGCACTCCACTCCACTGATGAGATCTAATTATGTGTGTGTGTTGAGTGAAACAGAAGCCTCTACACACATCGAGCTCTTGTCCTGAAGCTAAATCACTTCCTGCCTTTGCTGCGAACAGTAGAGTAATTTAGAGATTTTAACATAACGAAGTAACTTTGACAGGAGTTTAACTTTTCCCACTGGCTTTTTGAGATTGGTAGAGTTTAGGGGTAACTGACATCCCCCCGAATGGCCCCAGAAAGACAGTGGAGAAGCTTGTAGCAGGGGAGAAAGGGTGAGAGAAAGGGGGGTGGCGGTGGGGAGGAAAGGACATTCAGACAAGCTTTCCCTGCCAAGGCTCCGTATTGTTAATGCATGTCAGGCAGTTTGAGAGTGCTCGGCTTTTGTGCCTTGATTCTTTGTACCAGCCAGTGAGCATGAGAAAAGAGGGCTCTTTGTGGAGCTCAAGTTAGTGACAAGGTCATACTGAGCCACAGATTTCCCTTCTTTTGGCTTTTAAACATAAAATAGGAGCTGCAACTACTGTCAGCGTGTCCTTCTGTGGAACATATTGAGCCATTAGGACTGGATAGAAAACTGCTTAATACAACTGAATGCTTTGCAAGTGTCAGCAAAATGTTATTTATGTCCATTTATGTTAGTTATTCAAAGCTTTGGTTTCATTTCAGATAGTGACAGCGCAGTAAATGTTCTTTCAAAATGTTCCTTTATTTTATACTAGACAAACAAAGAGTTATGTGTTTTCTGAATATTTCACACTTTTATATCACAAGTTTGTAGACTAACACTTGGCAGTTTCCAACTTCAAGCAATATGTGGAAATGAATGAAAAAATGAAATATCTGAATAATTTGATAAAGATTTTCAAAAATCCCCAAACCAATGTAGAAGAAACAGAACATGTAAACTGTAAACAAGAATGATCAGGGATAGAGATCTTTCTCTCTGAGACAATGTTGCTACAGCTGAGCCTGCTGGAAAATGTTCAGATCACTCAAATATTCAGAGGCTGGTTGCCAGGGATACAATTGGAACTTGGAGAATGGCTTACTGCCTGCTAATTTTAATTATTTGATTTTATCAGTAGCTTATAAGTGGCAGAACTGTTCTCAGATGCATTGTAATGAATAATTATCAAGTTATAAAAAAGTTGGAAAATCATGCGTAATACTGCTTCAGGTACACATGACAGAGAAATACCCCATCATATTTCTTTTAGAGCTGGAAGTGGGATGAAATGTGTTTGGAAGAACAGTTACAATTGCTCTACTTAAAGGGGCCCTATTGTGTCTTTACTGTTACATGTTTACATATAAGTTAATGTTCAAAAAGCTCTTTATTTTCCTCATACTGCCTGCGCTGCAGCACCTCTTTTCACCCTCCGTCTGAAACCAGAGCCCAGTCTGCTCTGATCGGTTAGCTGGCCGGCTCTGTTGTTATTGTGCAACTGCTTAGAGATGTCCCGCCCCTTAGCCTATTATGTAAATGTGTTGGAGCACTAGCCATAAGAAGCGCAAGTCTTGCATCATCATGTCACGGAAGTAAACAAATTCTATGTGTACTATAGTGTGCAGTTTCATATCACTTATCCTTGTGATGTTCCTACAGAGGCCCCATTGCATTCTTGAATGTAGCGGCTCCTTCTATTAACCTCTGATGAATTCTCAGTATCTGTTACATGCTTTAGCAGCTCTGATGACATAAGGATCCACAGTTTCACCCTCTGCTCAGGATTCTTAAAGAGTTCCATGGGAATAAAGCGAGATATAGGATATCCTTCATTAATACTCTTGGCAGCTTCAGTAGACACCTGAACTAAGCTCAGATGACTTGTGAAATTTGTACGGCAGCTGATGAGTTTCCAAATATATTACACAACAGATGCCTGTCTTTCTCACTCCCGGCTCGACGTTAAATTCTGAACTCGAGACTTGAGAAGCTGTTCCTGTTCTCACGTTCGCACTCTCAACTCTCTGTTTTTTTTTAGATCAGAAGAGGTCCAAAAACAAGCTCAGTTGAAGAATTAAACGAGGAACATAATATACTTTAATCTGAGGCATGTAAGAAAAGCTCTTAAAGGCTAAGACGGGTTCTCCGAGGACAGACTGTGCGGCGGTGTCCTTACAGGTGGAGGACACTTCTACAACCCCAGACATTTAAAACCTTGTGCTACAGTTGGCTACAAGACATTCGTGCTAGCCCCCAAATTAGCTTAGGCAATGAGCCTCTCTCAACTAGAATAGCAAGCATTAGATAATAACATTAAATGTGGTGTCTATTAGCTGGAAATACAGTGGCTGCACCGTAGCAGCTACAACAACGTATGTAGAATACCAAACTCTCTCAAAGCATCGTTATAAATCCTAACCGATTTTGTCTGAGATTCTTAGGGTGCCAATGGAGACAGTGGAGAGCAGACTTGTGATTAGGCTTCTGCTTTTTGAATACTAATGCCAGTTAGGAACACTCGGCATCTGACCCATATTTCATTGTTCCAGTAGCACTGTGAAGGAGTAGAGGACTGTTTGTACTAAGCTGCTTCAAGGTGCGAATCTGCATAAATGTGTGAATGTGAAGCAGGCTGGTCCTAAAATAAGGCTCGCACACTCAGTCGCTGTGGTCTGATAGGAGATTTGTGGGTATTTTTATTATTCTGAAGGCAGCTGCTAACGTATTTCTTATTTATATGTACCAATTAAACGTTGCTTTTCTTTGTCTTACAGGGTTCAAAGCGTCTTTTGAGATCAAATGAGTACGTGCTCCCACCCAATGGACTGATGGAGACGGATCTGGAGCTCACATTCTCACTACAGGCAAGCACTGACGTTCTGCTGTGAATTTTCACACTGACACTGCAGCTAGTTGACAGGGAAGAATTTGTTAAAGCCCCTTCCTTACCACGTGCACATTTCTTTTGTAAATGCATTCATGTGTATTTACAGTATTTTGTATTACCTCAGGCCCAGTTTGTTAATATAAGCCACACTTTTTTAATGTTATTTTGTGGAGAGAGGTGTGAGCTAAGCAGGACAGGAAGTGTTGTAGTTTCTGTCCTCACATACTGTGTCCTTCCAAGTGCAACCCTACTCCATTCAAGAAATAATCCCTACCAAAGTCACTGAAGCAGACAGAATGTGTTGGATTTAAAAAAATAGACACCGCATACCGCGTGCGGACTAAAGGCAGCCATCGAGGTGAATTATGACAGCACAAGTGAACAAGCTGTGGAAATATATATATATATATATATGTTGCATGTGTGTAAAATGTAAAACGTTTGCAAATTCTGAACAAAAATTGCCAGCAAAAATGACATCGCTGTTGAGTAAATTCATGCTGCTTTTGAATAAAAAAATGGAGGCAGAAATAGACATGAGGCAGTGATGTTCAACCAACTTCTGAAACAGACATTAACTGTCATTTTGTGAATATTCAAGACCAACAAAGGCAAGTCAAGTCAATGTGAAGTTCAGTTTACGCCTTCAAAGACAATACAACTCCAGAGGACACAGACAAGTTGGATTCAAAGAGCAAATGTGAGGATAAAATATAAAGTGTTAGAGAGAGATATAAATCTGAAGTGATGAAGGTTCAACAACACTTCAAACACACTCCAGCAGACAGACCATTAGTAATACTTCAGGCAGTCTAACACCTACCATGTTGATTCACTGCTGGCATCAGAGTACTGTAATGGCTGTATTTTTTACAGAAAACTTGAACCAGGATTGTGTCATGGTGGGAAATGTCCTTTTTCTGTGGCTGATGCATGGTACAAATATATATTAGCTGAATAGAGACACAGCACAGCAGAATAATTGATAAAGAATTTGGTTTCGATGGAGAAAAATACAATTTATTGGCCTTTGTCTGCAAGTGAGTTTACATCTAAACGCTGATGAATATGTACTGTGGTCTATGTATCAATCCGTGTTTATATTTATTTTATTCAGTACCCCCATTTTCTGAAGAGGGATGCCAACAGACTGCAGATTATGCTGCAGAGGAGGAAACGCTACAAGAATCGAACCATCCTCGGATACAAAACTCTGGCTGTGGGAGTCATCAATATGGCTGAGGTACTTTCAACCACTTCATTTCATGTTTCACTGAATTTTTCTTGAGAAACATCATTTTTCCTTTCAGCTGGTGATTGACATGGCTGTCAGTGTCTATGTACAATGTCTTGGTTCGCCAGTCCTGCTTTACCCATCATTCCAATGATTCATGCTCGTCACACGTACTGCTGTGTGAGATTATGGGCCATCTGGAGCTGGCTTCATATGCACTTTCTGGAAAGTGCATTCAGCCATGCTATGCGGTAATAATAGACTGCAAGCTGACATGATGCCACTTGTCGATGTTTATTTGATGTAGATATACAAGATTACGTTGTTTTTTTTCCCTCATCCGAGTTATTTAACATTAAGTACTACCAGTCCTGCCTCAGTGGGGATGTTGCACGTATGTCAGACTGTATGTTTGGCCACTGGACCATCAAAATGCAATTTTTTTTCAACACACTTCTTGCTTTGCTTACTAATGCCTGCTGTCACAGTGGATATCACACATTGTAGGGACTGCTGTTGAATTGTGGGTCATTCACTTGCATCATTGCGCACGAGCAAAGTGCTCTCGTGTTTGAACACAGTGGGGGATTTTTGATAGCATGCCTACTACTATGGATCGCACTGAACCAAACATTGTACAGCAGATAGAGATCAATTAAAAAGCCTTGTGAAGGACATAATTAGCTTGCTGTTTATATGAAAGGGAAATCAAGATGAAGAGAGATTTAGACAGATATCGAGCGCCATACTTATTTGAAAAGAGGGACGCAGGTAGCATTTCTCAAATGGTAATTACAGTGCCCATTCATGCTCGGCTAAGGTGACTTCCCACTAGTAGCCCCAGGACAAAAATTGACTGACATTTAAAAACAATACCAATGCTTATTGCATTAAAATACTACTTTACCACGGTGCTGTTTTGGTGCTTTCTGCAGCGAAACAACCCAAAGACTTCTATGAATAAAGCTAGATTGACCATTATTGGATCCTGTCGGGTAATTATGTTGTCCTCTGCTGTAGAGTTAACTCTCCCTTGCCCTCATTCTGAATCCATCGGGGCATTACGTGGGAGGAAGTCACAGTTATTGGACTTTGCATGCAACATTGGAGTAAGTGCACCCCTGACGGTGTTTGAGCAAAGAGAGCCTACTCCCTGTGCAGCTATTCATCAAGTGAAATATTGAAAGTACCCCACAGATAGAGCTTAAAATGAAAGCTCATCCTTTCTCATCTGATTCATATCAGTTTATGCAAACCGCGTTTCGCTGTTTGTCTCTGTGATATGAGCAAATTGGCGCGGCTCATTTCCACATTCAGAATGTAATAGATTGTAATAGATTTTCTTAGGGATAGCATAGCTGAGGTCTCGTAATCAGTCTGTAAATCTCTGCGAGCATAAAGCAGTGTAACAGAAGCCCTCCCAATCTCTGATGTATCGGTGTCTGTTCTTCAGGAAAGAGAGATACTGTTCTTCCATCAGGCCTCTCTGTTGAAGAAATTGCTTCCATTATATTTCGACAGAATGATTGAAAGACACAGACATTTTACGAGACTGTAAATGTATCTCCGTTTAAGAAGACTTGAGTTTTAGACATGTGTCCTCTGTTTTATTTATTTAAGACAATGAAACATTTAATTCAAGGGGCCCTATCGTGCTTTTGTTTGTTTTTTTCTTTCCTTGGTATGTTGTATAGGTCTTAGTGCATGTAAATGGTCTGATAAGGCTAAAATACCTGTGTTCCCTCCAGAGGGAGTTTCTCTCCCACACACTCCCCCACTGCCTGAAACGCCTCCATTGGACTCCTTTGTTTACTTAACATAGAGACAACACTACGTAACACTTGCACTTCTACTGGCTAGCACACATTGTACGTGATAGGCTAAGGGGCGGGACATCTCTAAGCGGTTCACCTATCACAACATAGCCGGCCAGCTGACCAATCAGAGCGGACTGGGCTCTGGTTTCAGACAGAGGGTGAAAGAGAATGAAAAAAAAATCTGACTTTTGAAAATGAAAGCATGTAAACGTTTCACAGTAGAGGTACAACATAAAAATATGAACCAACAAATGTGCATAATAGGCCCCTTTAACATCACATAGAACACCTGAAAATATCTTGTATATGTAAACTAAGAAATTATAAAAAATACAGTGCTATTTAGTTCATTACACCACTTAGGCTGGTGAAGTAGTATGCATAATCATCCTCTTGTGCACTTATTGTCCTTTTTAATATTGTATTATACTTTATTTGCATACATTAGATCTTTACATGTTACATGTTTTACATTGTTGTTTACAATTGTGAATGAAGGAGCAATGATTACCATACCTGGGCTGTAGGTCGGGGGTGGAAGGTCACCTTTAATGTTTCTCTATATGTTTGTGTATTTGTTAAACTACCTATTTAACCTATTATACCAGCTTTAAAAAAGAAAAAAAAGATAATATTATCAGAAGTGTTTCAAGAGAGAGAGAGATATCTAAAAAAAACGACTTTGTCTTGTATAATTGGTTTAGAGCACATTTTGTATTTGAATGGATTCTTAAAAATCAATAGCGAGCCTCAATCTTCCCGTATCCAGGTGATGCAACACCCGACAGACGGAGGACAGATCCTGGGTCTCCATAGCAACGTGAAGGAGGCGCCAGTGCGTGTGGCGGAGATCAGCGTGTACTCTCTCTCCAGCCAGCCCATCGACCACGAGGACGGCAGCGGCCAGGCCGGGCGCAAGACCAAAACCTCAGGTGAGCACGGACCCCCCCCGTCCCTCTACATGGCTCTGTCAGACCAGCCTGTACCAGCGCTGCTCGCTCAAATCCTGTGTGTAATTTCAGCCCTCTCCCTGGAGCCAGCGCCCCCCCCCAAGCCCCTCTCTTCCTCCTTCCACATGGCTCCTATTTCCCCACCGAGAGGAATAAACTCTTAATCCCAACCTGTGGTCAAGGATATTTTATTTCCTCCAGCTATGCTTCTAATGTTGATGTGAGAGTTGAACAGACTTAGGCCCTATTGCCTTACACTTTTCTAATTCTGGACGGGGGAGAATTATTGGGCCATGCTCGGACACCACGCCTTCATCCCGCCATGCTGATCCTTCGCTTTTCTGGAAGTTATTAAAGAGGCTGCTCAAACATAACAGATGAGCTCATGCACCGAGAATTATTCCAGTGTCACTCGGAGGAAGATGTTTATCTTTCTCCTCTGTAGTCAGCCTCAATAACAGACATCCCAGCTAAGAGCACTGAGCTGGATGTTTCACAGGCAAAAGGATGTTGAGAGAAAAAAGATCTTCCATTGCCTGATCTGTGCTCAGCTGTCAAACACGCAGTAAAAAGGGCTTTTTAGGGAATGTGGCTGCTCAAACCAATAAAATCTGACTTGGTAGTAAAACTTCAACCACTAAAATGTTATTAAAACTTAATCGGAATGTAAAACATGAGCTGTCCCATCTACTTTACATATAAGCTTTCAATACATTTCAGCAAGCACTTTTAGCATTATTCATGTGCACAGAAAACGTGTTTGCATTAAATTGTACTCACTATTCTTTCCATGTAGTCAAAGTAATTAATTAAGGTGTGGAAAAGGACAGGAAATTAAGAATTATAAAAAGTACACAATATGCTGGAATCTTGATTTAAATTAAAATAAACGGTTTCTGTTTTGTTTGTTTAACACCTTTTAGGCTACCAATGACAACAAATGCTAGTTATATGCTTACTCTGTTCCAAAACAAAATGTCAGCAAAGTTTCTGTGAAACTACTTTTGGTAAGACTGCCCAGACATGCATGTATTTTGATGTTTTTTTCTGTGTGTGTACCTCCAGACCGCTCCCCAGACATGGATAACTATTCTGAGGAGGACGATGACAGCTACTCGTCGGAGCAGGAAGCCAGCGATGACGCAGTTCATGCCCAGGTTGGCCAGAAAATGCTTAAAACAAACCTGCAATAGCCAGCTCAATCGAATATATATAAGAAATTAAAGTATACAATTTAGCTAAACAAAATTAAAGTCGTTCCCTAATAGATTTAGCCAGAAGCAGTTGTCCTTTCCAAGTTTTTAGTCGTATAACAATGTATTTCCTACATTTAGCTTAATGATTACAGGTAGGATTGTAGGGGGCACTATTATAAGATCTCACCCACCCACTCTGTTTTCTCAGGACCTTTATGATGAAGATGACGAGGTCAGGAAGCCGAAGAAAGCCCGGAGGAAAATGATCCGAACCACCTCCATGACCAGGGTAAGTCGCCTCTTTTTCTCCACCACATGGGAGTGTAGCGCTCGCTAATCATTGACTACGAGAACAACTCAAGACCTGCTCTGGCTGTCGTACAAGCTTTTTTAAGGGAAAGCGCACACTGTGTTCCATTTGTCCCAGCCATTAGGATGATGTGGATGAGCATGTAAAATGAACACTGTGGGTTCACTGGAGTGATTATAATGGTCTTTACATGGAGTGAATGTGAATGAGTAATCCAGTGGACATTTACTGGGAGAAGTGATAAGCCCGGGCCCAGCTGTCATGCACATCTAATGAGGACAGTTACTCCCTTTCAGGGGGCTCTGATTTTCATAATTGCATGTTTTTCTTTTCTTCGTTTGCAGCAACCTAACTTCAAGCAGAAGTTTGTGGCCTTGCTGAAAAGGTTCAAGGTAACAGATGAGGTGAGTGTGAAAAGAATAATTTACTTTTTTGTTTTGATCGACACCCAGGAGAAACGGCACCCCTGTAATGTCTCAGCCCTAATGTAATGAAGTTTTTAGCAAGTCAGCTGTGAAACATATCAATTATTAAATTGCCCTTGGGCCATGAGAAAATAAGCTCAGTATTGACTGTCTAAACAATATATTGCTGCGACTAATGTCTCCCACCTGGAGAAGAAATCACTGCCGCCCAACAGAGGTGCACAAATAATTATGGCTGCTTTACCTCTGTGCTCATGGATGTATGATTCATACATTTCCATTAGCAGCAATCTGTATGCAGAATCCATTAAAGACCCTTTTTCTCCACCACATAATCCTGTGATAAATGCACGCTCACGCACTTGTCCTGTTGAGGTTTGTGTTTTTCTTCTCTCTTGTCCCTTTTTCAAATAAATGTTTCTGTGGATGCATAACCATAACAGCTTGTAAATCAGGTCATCAGCAGGAAGTCAACCATTTGTGTGCAACAACCCCTACATGTCCATTAGTATTTAATCTGTGTTAGGCCATTATAATGATAATAATTCCCATTCAACCATTGGCTTGCTTTCCCTCTTCTACATTCTGACGTCACAGTCCTTAAATTAAAGTGAAAAATACCTTTTGAAGATTGCTAAGGCCTTGAGTAAAATACAAATATGATGGCTGCAAAGAAACCCTCCTTCCTTCATTGCCTTAATTATCAATATAATCAACTTTATCCGCTAAAAAGGAAAATTACACTTACTCTTCAAATCTAAAGGAAATAAAGGGATAAATACTGGCATATTACATTACATTATATGTCACTTGTTGGACACTTTTTTTATCCAAAGTGACTTACATGCATTCAGTTCTGTGGGCAATCCCCACGGGAGCCATTTGGGCTGAAGTGTCTTACCCAGGGACACAACAACATGCTCTCTGCATCAGCGCACTATCCCTCTGAGCCACAGCCTCCCTATGTATATATAATAATATATATACTATTTGTCTTTTATTTTCTTTATCCCCTTTATATGCATTATTTGTCTTTTTCCTACAATTTGTCCTCTATTCTTTACTGACTTTGTTGTAATATCTCAGTCCTCTCTTGAACTACAGAACGGTTGTAAAATAGAAACCTAAAGATATCATAAAATAAAAAACAGTCCATAAATTACATCAACAAAAAAATCAGGTTCCATTCTTAACTATGTCGTTTTCAGGGGATTTGACTACACCATTCATAGAAACAAATGTTAAAGACCCTTGTGTGACATACAAGCCCCTCGAGGCCAGGGGACTTGTGTTTCTCTGGATGCTTCCTGAAACTCCAGGTGGCCCGATGATCTTTTATCAGCTCCCCTGGCTCTAATCCCTTCCTTGTGGCCAGTCAGTGTGCTGGGCTACAGCTCTATAAATACATAGCCGGGAGGAGAGGAGGGGACAGACTGTGTTTATCTTCTCCCTGCCAGCTTCTGCACTTATGGAGTGGCATTAATCACCTGATTAGTCCACAGGCAGGCTGACTGTGTGCGGCTCCTATGATATACATCCCCACTGTGCGATCGAGGACCGGCAACCTTAGCTCTCCTCCAGCACTCACTCGCCTTTTAATTGGCCTTCTTAGGACCGAGGCAGAGATGTATTTATAGCATAGATTTTCTCATTTTACAAGGTTCAGTGCTCCCCTTCATTCGTTAGGCTCCATTAGCCCAGCTGTGAAAGTGATTAGTTAATGCACAGCACCAGTCACTCCCTACACTTATTTAATCCATGGCCATGATTACAAATCTCTGATTACAGCGTACTGATGTGTTGATGATGTGTCTATCCCTATATGGCAGGTGCTGGACTCTGACCCTGTTGACCAGACCCAGGAGGTGGAGGAGGATCTGGACTTACTCTACGACAGCCTGGAGGTGTACAACCAGAGCGACAGCGGGCCGGAGATGGAGGACAACGAGAGCGTCCTGAGCACGCCCAAGCCCAAACTCAAGTATGTGGCACAAGGCTGGGCATTTAGCAATATCCTTTTCTAGATATCATGATATAAGGCTACTAGATATTGTGTTACCTTTTGGATATTCTGACATGGAATAATTGTTAATTGAGTAATTGTCTTTTCTTTAAAAGGCTGCATTACTGTAGAGTGATATTATTTTCAGAACATACCAGACTGCTGTAGCTGCTCTTTTGTTTTGCCTACCCACTTTGTCATAATATCCACATTCAAGATCCACATTGTATTTGGAAATGTTTTTTTGTTTTTTTTAAAGGAACATGCCCACCCACGCATTGAACATGGAGTTTAAAGCAAAAAGTAGTTCATTAATACATTTTTAAAAAGCACAGGTTTTTGATCACAACTATTGGAATATTTCCTTTTCTCCATATCGCGCAGCCCTACCTCTTAAGCCATCTTTTCAGAAATGGTCTTATTTTTCTAGGCATTCAATCATTTATGGGCACAATCTTTACACAGTTTGAGTGGGTTTTTTGGAAATACAGAATCGAGGAAGTATTTACAACATGTCTGAAGTTGCAATTGGCCATTCAGTTAGGACTGCCCAGTTAAACAAATTAATCAAATTGTCTTTGTTTCTGTTTTCAGGCCGTTCTTTGAAGGGATGTCTCACTCCAGCTCCCAGACAGAAATTGGAAGCATACACAGCCAAAAGAGCCAGCAGAGAGAGCTGTCCTGTCCTGTAAGTTGATCACCAGGCCGCCCAGATGCCTCTCCACCACACTGTTTACCCATGAAGGTCTTCCTCTGTGGTATCTGGAGAAGTTCTTGTAAACAGGGTTAGGTAAAGGAATTGCCTCTGGGCAGTGTTTAAATATCTGGCAGTCCTCTCTGCTTATTGTGGTTCAGGGATTCCCATGGACCATGATACTACAGGAAAGATATTCTGAGCATGCAGCTCCCACCCCTGCAGATGGGGATGGGATGGAGGGGGGGGGGCTGCAGTTCTTGCCCTGTTCACCCCTAGAGCCCTCTAGTATTTATAGGACTGACACCGAATGACCTCTCCGCCACCATCACAGACACAAATATGCTCAGAGACGATTGGATGGAGCATCCCTCAACTCCTGCTCAGAGATTTATGGCACACGGGAAGCAACAAGGACAGAGAGAGGGAGACATGTTGAGTGTGATACTTAGAGAGGGAGCGCTGTTTATAAATATCTGGGAATCCATTTCAGCTTGCAGCCTCGAGCATTTCACACTGCTACAGCCCTCCATCTTGCTCAATAAATGTCTCTAGTCGAACTTCATGAATGCAGGCGAAGCAGTAAAGTGTTTGATCTAATTGAAATAAATGAATGTTATAAGATGCACTTAAATACTTTCAGACAAGCACACGAGGGTAAAGCAAGTATTCAGATCTTTCACACGGTAAAATGATTCCAACACGAGTAAAAGTCTTTCACTGAAAAGAATGCGGGTTTTATCAGACATATGTACTTTAAAAAACAAACAGATGAAGTATTTATTTGGTAAAAAAGTGTTACATAGAATTTTTGTATTATATTACTCTATCACAATGTCTACTGTTAAAGGAGGAAGATTTTCTCAACATATAAAGAAACAATTTACCTCAGTTCATTTAAGAAAAATCTAATTTCAATCAACCAAAATTGAAGATACATTTTTCCCTCGATAGGATGCGTATAAAGAGCTGTAAGGAAAATAATCTTTTGAAATAAAAAGACAAATAAATAAAAACATGGGTATACTCAATCACAATTGCCTGAAATCTGTGCTGTAGTACAGTTATTGAGTGAATATACTACGTTACATTTCAACCCTTCAAGTGTGTCCATTTTTCTTTTGGGGTTTCTATGCGAGTTGGAGGCTACAGTGGAACATAGAGAAGCTTTTAGAGGTATTTGTCCTTGTCAGATGTGCCACTTTCAGTAAGCTCGGTGGAGCGGTGAGACGTGACATGTTTGTCATTTATATTCTCCAGAGAAGGTTCAAATGGTCTAATGTGTGTGTGCTTATGTTTGTTTACCCTACAGACTGGTGACTTTCTGACCGTGGACAGATGTAAAGTGCAAGGGGCCCGGTATCAAGATGACAGCAACACCGAAGCAACCGTCGGGGTATGTGTTTGGAACAACAGCAGTTTTACTTTCTGTTTGTTTGTCTTTGGCAAAATCTCCTTTGAGCATCTCTTTTCTCAGATTTGTTTCCCCTTCTCCACTTGACTGCCCTTATCCTCCCATGGGCCTTGGTTGTTTTCCAGGAAAAAGCAAAGAGGGAGGGGGTTAGCAAGGGCAAGCAAACCAAACAGCACCGTCATCCATTATGGATCAGTCGAGGAGACAAGGCGGCCTCATGCTGGAGAAATCCTGACTGATGGCGGTCGAACGAGGGGTGTTTGTTGTTGTCTGTGTGCCGTCGGGTCGGTCTAACCTTGTTCTGCTCCCCCTCTGAGCGCTGGTCGCACCGCTCCACTAACCCAATTCAAACGGAATAAAATAAAACCGCAGGAACCGCGTTTCCTTAGCTAAGAGACCCTGACTTTTTGTATCTCTTCCATCACGGTGGTCTCGCATCATTATCTCCTACTTCAACAGCCATGCTCTATTATTCACCAGCCTCAACTCTTTCAACTCTTACTTTCGAAATGCTGCACCACGCACAAAAGCACATCAAGCATACAGAACAAACCAGAACCCCAGAGAAACATTGATGTAGAAGTAGATAGGACATGACAGCGCCTGTGTCGAACGATAAACATCAGCATTGTCCTCTTCCAGCCCTTTTGGCTAATCTTTGCCCCCCCCCCCTCTCTTTTTTTTGGTGCAGGAACCAGAGACTGAGGACAGCGGGCCAGGGCCGGGGGAGGTGAGCAGCTGGGATGTCAACACTGAGCGGGTGACCAGCACTGTTGGCAAGCTCTGCAAGACGGAGTCCCAAAACCACATGTCTCCCAGGTACAGTGCTGATCCCCACATCTGGTAACATGTGCACAACAGAATGTCATGTCCCAGTGTTTCCCCTATGAAAGCAGGGGAGTTAACCCCCTAGGGTAACTGCTTTAGGGGGACGGCATGGTAAAACACTCATTCCACCAAATTCCATTATCAAATTTAACACGAAAATATGTATCAGTTATCAAGATAAACACAAACCTCACACATAGGCACACATTACATCCACAGCACTTATCTAGGGAGAGAATGCATCTCTTTTACTCCCGTTATTCCCCTCTTCCAAAACATTGGAGCAAGTGCCAGGAGTTGAGTTTTCATTATTTTGACTGTGTGTTAACTTCTTGCCAAATGAATCAGAGCACACAATCCAAATTGCCTGCTACGTTACCATATGCCCGGTTGCTGTCAAAGTAATATTCCATTTAAAAGGGTATTTTTTAAATGGGGCAACATTACATCACTTCCAGCCAACTTCATAGAACATAATGAGGGCAAATCAGCATCAGCGATCTGTGCTAACAGAATATTCTCTGGTCCAGCTTAGCTGAAAACACAGAATCCGTCAGCATGCTAGCTAACCTTCACTTGTGATACTAAAGAACAGAGGATATTAAGGATCGTATGGAATTTCAGCAATGCAGCATGAATAAAGAGACTCTATGCGAGCGGGAATAGGTTACTTTAGATTTATTTTCTTGTATTTTGGAAAGGGACCTTTTTTCCTAAATGTTTTGTCATGTTCTCAGCCCAGTACATTTAGGTTCCCTGCTCTTTCTGTCATGTACTTGAA